AATAACGTCACCAAAATAATACCTTTTAGTTTTTTTTTTTGTTTTGTTTTTTTTAATTGATTTATACAGCTGTTTTTTCTGAATAATTGAATATTTGCAATAGTTAAGTGTTCGGATTCAGTATCAGTTTTGAACTGTGTTATCTGTTGCCAACATTGGTTGGCTACTGATAAGTGCAAATGTGTTTTTTTTTTGTCAGTTTGTTTATCATTATTGGCTAAACTGATCAAATTTCTTTTTCCGTCAAATTGTTCACCAAAATTTTGTAGGGTTTGTTAAAATATTGCTTTATTAACTCCGTCTTCCTCAGTTACCTTATCAACTGTTGTCCTGAAGAGCCAAAATAGTGAACTAACAACTTATAATACTGTTATCAAAAAGTTTTTATTTCAGCCAAATTTTAAAATATGAAAAAGAAGGAGTCACTGTTGCTGTTTATAAAAATAATAAACTGATCGCTGATCTATGGGGCGGTTATGCTGACAGGTAAAATTTTTTAATTATTTTTCCACCTTTTTTTTTTTCTTCTTTATTCTTTTCTATTTCACTGTATTTTAGTTCGACAATTAAATATGCCAATAGCTTTTTCTTCCTTATTGAAGTCACAAAAAAATATATGTAAATTTGATGCATTTTTGTATTGCTTTTTTCCTTTTTTCTTTTTTCTGCTTGATTTTAAAATAGAACAAAATGAAAAAAAAAAAAAGTACATAAAAAGCAGATAAACATTAGAAAAAGTTGGATTTCTATTTCAAAATCTGTTTTTGTGCATTTATTTTAGAGAATCATTGAGACTTTGGGAAAGGGATACATTGACCATTGGTTTTTCGACGACAAAAGTTATTGCAGCTTTAATTGTTGCAATTTTGGTTAGTCGAAATCAGTTGAAATATGAGGAAAAGGTAAGTCAACAACAAAAAAAAAAAAAGCAGAACTTTTTTTTGCTTTCTTTTTCAGTCGTTTAAAAATGTCGTTATAATAACATTGAAAAAGTTTTGCTTGTGAAATGTTATTTTATTTATTTATTGTTTACAGGTTGTTAAGTATTGGCCCGAATTTGGAAAACACGGTAAAGACAACGTTACCATACAGTGGTTGGTTGAGCATAAGGTTTGTCAGCATTTTCGATGTAGGAAAAAGAAAAATTTTTTAAAATTTATTATTTTTTTTGCTATACTTTTTTCCAAAAAAAAAAAAAAACTGTTTTTAGTCAAATTTTTAGTCGTCCTCTTTTACTGTTTCATCGTTTTCTTCTTTCTTCTCTTGCGGTATACCAAAAAAAAAAAACTGAAACGGTTTAGCGTTTTTATCGCCTTTTTGTTATTAAAATTGTTATCTTCAAAAGTGTTGTCGCATTTTATGGTTAAAATTTTTGTGCTGAAAATAGTATACAGAAGCGTTGGTTGATCCTAATTTGGATTAAAAAAATATTAGTTAAGGAATAAATGAAGCAAACGCTTAGATTAGGATTAGCGGTAAGTCTAGAAAACGAGCATTTTAGTGAAAAGATGAAAAGCATCGGTCCAGTACCAATAATCTGCAAAAGAGGTAATCTTGAAAACAATGTCTGTAAATCATCTGATTAGTTTTTATCGACAGCTAACTGTCTGTTATTTATAAATTCTAATTTTATTAATTTTTTTTGCAAGACAAAAAAATGTATTTATTTTTTCATAATTTAGAAAAAATGTAGAAAAATATCATTTTTTTCTAATAGTTCTTTAAGAAAAAAAAAAAAAAAACAGACTTGTTGCCTTCTTAAGTAACCTCATAACTGCTCCGCTTTTTGCTCTTCTAAATTTTTATTTTTCTATCAAAAATTTACGTTTTGGATACAGTTGTTTATATCAAAACAAAACAAAAAAAAAAAAATTTAGTGACCAAAAAATTCTAGAGAAAGTAAAAATTTATAAAACTTGATGCAACTAATTATGGTAATGTGTTCAAAGTGTTCAATCTTTTTTGCCGCTCGTTGAACGAAATGTAATTTATGACTTTTAAAATTGCAAATTTATTAAAACATACAGAGTACTGAAACGAGAAATTTAACTTGAAAAACTGCTATTTCAACGGGGAGTACGACAACTTTGTGACAAACTGATATTCTGCAAACAAGTATAAAAATTTTGCAACAGTTTATCAGTTTCCTTCCAAAACACTTTTGTGGGCAAATATTTTAGGCCGGATTGATCAAATTCGATGGAGAACTAAAGCTGGAGGATGGAAATAATTATCAGCATATATCACGGTTAATTGAAGAGGTTAGTCCTATATTTTTACCCTCCAACTTTTACCGATTAAAAACTGAAATATATCCCCTTGACATTTATAAGTTAAATCTCATCAAAATGTTCCATTACGTAACCGTCTTCGTTTTACAGCATCTTTGATTATATTCACAAACAGCAGCGGTAATTTGATTTTCACATGCTTAATTATAAATAAAAAAAAAATTATTTCAAAAACGTAATCATAGAGGCAAAATAAGTGTAACAGAAACTGAGCCACGAGCTTAACCCTAATCGTGACAAACAGTTATTCCTGCCACTTATTCACTTCATATTGCGCCTTTTGATTAGTTTTTACTAGTACTACAGAGCATTCTTGGCTTGTACATGCATAATTTCAAATTCAAAAAGTGTAGGAGATCAGGATTTGTTTGACGTTGCTACATATTGTTCACTGAAACCAAAAATTTGCAGACAAAACCAGTTTGGCCGCCAGGAACAAAAGTGGGATATCATGCAATAACATATGGTTGGCTAATAGATCAAATAGTGAGACGGGCAGACGTAAAAAAAAGAGGAATTGCAGAGTTTTATAGAGAAGAAATACGACCATTAGCTTCAGGTAAGTGGTTCAAAAAAAAGAATTTTTCCAACAATTAACCAGTCAAAAGAAAATATATCTGAGCAGATGGCTAGGCAACTGTTTTTCACAGACAGTGTCCTACAGAAATATATAGAGTCTAAGGCCTAAAAAACCCTTTTTTGTGAGAAACTAGTAATAAATTGATAGCCAAATGAAAGTCTTTGTAATATACTTAATTTCAGATAAAGATTATTTTATTGGTTTACCGCACTCAGAACTTCACCGACTTGCCCGTGTAGTACCAGCAACACGTCGCGAATTTATAAAAGCAGTTATTTTAAATCCATTTTACACTCAGTTTTGTTTGCGCAATCTTCTTGAAAATTTTGGCACCATAAATTGCCATGGTTTAATGGATATTGCTGGAACCTATCCTTCATGGCTTGGTATCATGCAGGTTTGTTAAAGACTTTTAAAAGGGAAATTTTTAAGAAAACTACTCACCACGTTCGTCTCTGCTACAAAACTATGCAACGCAGTAGACGGGTGAACTGTTTTAACCACTTTATTTTCACCGTATCTCTACTGTCACGGTTCTCCATTTGTCTTTATAGGGTTAATTAATAGGTCGCTAAATTTTTTTGGCAGTAATAGGTGTTCGGAACTCTGCAGGAATCAATATGTTGTATATTTTTTGAAACTTTCGTATTTACAAGATAAAAAAACTGTTCATCTGAACGGTTTGCTTCAGACGTTATTTTGATGCTGATATACCATTCAGTACTGTTTGAAACATTAACAGTTTGAGCATCATTTCGGCAGTGGGATGAAGATAAAGATATTCAAAACAATGTTAATGTTTTTTATTTCTTTTCAGTGGGAACTGCCATATAATAATCCGAAAGTCCAACAAATCGAAAATACAGCTGTAAACGGATTTGGTACTGCCAGGGGCTTTGCTTCAGCAGTTTCAGCGATACTTCAGGTGCCAAATTTTGAAAGTTCTCCAAAAAATCTTTTTCCTAATCATTACTGCGATTGAAAGTGCAGCAAGCGAACTTCTGAATTACTAATTCGTTTTTACGACTTCAACAGAAAAATGGTGCAAACCATTGTAATAGGTTAAAAACTACTTTATTGTTTAATAAATATGAATTAAAAAATTGACAACACATCCTAAACAATAAACACCATTTACTTGACTTAGTCATTACTTTTTTGCCAAGCTATTCATTCAAAAGCATGTCGCTTTCCGACAAAAATTAATAAATACATATACAAATATATATATATATATATATATATATATATA